AATTGGGAAAAATCTCATGGTCACTTGCCATTGTTCTTGTGGGGGACTTTAACCTCCTGGGTATCTCCTGGGATCACAACACAGCAGAGAGGGAACAATCCAGGAGGTTCCTGGAATGTGCGGAGGATAATTTCCTCACACAGCTGGTGAGGGAGCTGACCAGAGAAGGTGCCTTCCTCTCTTCCAGGGAAGAGCTTGTGGGGGAGGTAATGGTTGGAGGCCCTCTATGGTGCAGTGACCATGAGATGACTGAATTTTTGATCCTTCAAGAAACAGAGGGGTTAGTAAAACTGCCACCTTAGACTTCCAGAGGGCAAACTTTGACCTGTTCAAAAGACTGATGAACAAAATCCCTTGGGAGGCTGCCCTGAAGGATATGGGAGTCCAGAAAGGCTGGACATACTTCAAGAGAGAAGTCTTAAAGGCACAAGAGCAGGCTCTTCCCACATGCTGAAAAACAAGCAGGCAGGGAAGGAGACCAGCCTGGCTAAACAAGGACCTTGGGCTGGATCCCAAGAACAAAAGGAGAATCTATTGCTTTTGGAAGAGGGGCCAGGTCTCTCACGAATACTATAGAGATGTAGTAAAGCTATGTAGGGAGAACATTAGGAGAGCCAAAGCACAGCTAGAGCTCAACTTGGCCACAGCTGTTAAGGATAACAAAAAAAATGTTTCTATAAATTCATTAACAGCAAAAGGAGGATTAGGGAAACTCTCCCTCCTTTACGGGATGCAGAGGGAAACACTAAGGATGAGGAAAAAAGGCTGAGGTGCTCAATGCCTACTTTGCTTCATCTTTAGCAGTGGAACTGGCTGTTCCCTGGACACCAGCCTCATGAGCTGGGAAGGGGAAGCAGAATGAGGTCAGCACAGTTAAAGAAGAAGTGGTCAGAGAACTGCTACACCACTTGGATGCACACAAGTCTGTGGGACCAGATGGGTGGACCCAAGGGTGAGGAGTCAGCAGATGTGCTTGCCAAGCACTTTCCATGATTTACCTGAAGTCATGGCTAACTGGGGAGGTCCCATTGGACTGGAGGGTGGCAAATGTGACACCCATCTACAAGAAAGGCAGAAAGGAGGATCCAGGAAACTATAGACCTGTCAGTCTGACCTTGGTGCTAGAGAAGGTCACAGAGCAGGTCATCTCAAGTGTCATTAAAAGTCATATAATGGACAACCAGATGATCAGGCCCAGTCAGCATGGGTTTATGAAAGGCAGGCCCTGCCTGACAAACCTGATTGCCTTCTATGACAATATGACAAAATGACCCAACTATTGGATGAAGGCAAAGCTGTAGCTACTATCTATCTGGACTTTCAAAAAGCATTTGACAAGTTCCCCATAGGATTCTCATATGAAAACTAGCTGCCCATGGCCTGGATGAGCAAACAGTCTGCTGGGTCAAGCACTGGCTGGCTGGATGGTCCCAGAGAGTGGTGGTCATTGGAGCTAAATCCAGCTGGCGGCCAGTCACAAGTGATGTTCTTCAGGGCTCGGTGTTGGGACCATTTCTGTTCAGTATCTTTATTGATGATCTTGATAAGGACACACAGTGTATCATCAGAAAGTTCACAGATGACACCAAGTTAAGCAGGAGTGTCGATCTGCATCAAGATAAGGAGGCTCTATAGAGAAACTTGGATAGATTGGATCAGTGAGCCAACATTAACAGGGTGAGTTTCAGTAAGGCCAAGTGCCAGGTCCTGCACTTGGGCCACAACAACCCCCTGTGTCACTAGAGGCTTGGAGAGGTGTGGCTGGAGAAGCTGTCTGTAAGAAAAGGATCTGGGGGTTCTTATTGACAAGCAGCAGAACATGAGCCAGCAGTGTGCCCAGGTGGCAAAGAAGCCAACGGCATCCTGGCTTGTATCAGAAATAGTGTGACCAGCAGAAGTAGGGAGGTGATAGTCCCCCTGCACTCTGCACTGGTGAGGCCACACCTAGAGTGTTGTGTCGTTTGGGGTACCTCAAAACAAGAGAGACATTGAGGTGCTGGAGCAAGTGCAGAGGAGGGCAACGAAGCTGGTGAGGGCTTGGAGAACAAATCCTATGAGGAGCGACTGAAGGAGCTGGGACTGTTTAGGCTTGAGAAAGAGAAGGCTGAGGGGAGACCTCATCACTCTCTACAACTACCTGAAAGGACAATGTAGAGAGGTTGGTGCTGGTCTCTTCTCATAGGTAATTAGTGACAGAACAGGAGGGAATGGCTTTAAACTACAACAGGGGAGGCTTAGACTGGACATTAGGAAAAGATTTTTCACAGAAAGAGGGGTCAGACAGTGGAATAGGCTGCCCAGGGAGGTGGTGGAGTCCCTGGATGTGTTTAAGGGTAATTTAGATGAGATGTTGAGGGATATGGTGTAGGGGAGAACTTTGTAGAGTAGGGCTGACAGTTGGACTCATTCCCAAGGGTCTTTTCCAACCTGAATGATTCTATGAATTAGTCAACAGGTTCAGGATACATAATCGTGCTACAAGGAGAGGTCATGCCAAAATTTTCATAAAACCTTATCCTTAGATTTTAATGCCATGTGGGAAATTACTTTAGTCTATAAAGTCATCTATCATTATGTAATTATATGTCACCTCTTCTGGTTTAAGGGCATTAATGCATCAGTTACTGACATCAGCTACTACCAGACAGTTAAATGTTAAGCTTCCATATAAATAATGCAGTTCTCATCCAGTACACATGAAGTCTTGCTTTCAGTTTGCAGAGTTCAGGCTGTTCAGCAGGTCCATGGCTCAAGGCACAGATGTCCTGTTGACCATGACCCTGTTACTCATCCTGCATTCTGTTTACCCTTGTGGTACCTCAGTCCCATGAGCAGTGACAGCCAGTGCAGACAGTCCCATCCTGTTTCTTCTTTCCATGGCAATGGCTATACCAGATATCCTCATCTAACAGGGAACTGCAAGTTTAAGTCGGTTTTCTGATGCACTGTGATTCACACAGAAACTACCCACTGATATAGCTTGGTGAAGTCAGAATATAAGTCATAAGACTATTAGAGCAATGCTGTGGAAGTAGTTGACCCAGCTCAATTAACTTGCAGCTTCATGACAGTCTTCTCCCCATCTTCTTGTTCCTTGTTTACAGAGCTCTGCAAGCTGGTACAGCAGCAATAGCCACAGCACCCCAGGCAGTTTGCTACCCACTTGCCTCTCTGCAGTCCTCTTAAGAATCCCCTGAGTAGCTTTGCCTTTAGCACTTCATCACCATAACATCAGCCCCAGTGGATTCAGCAAAAGTATAAGTCCACATGCCAACAAAGTAAATGAGGGTGACAAAAGCCCACCATATGAGGTTTTGCAAGGATCTACACATTAGTCTGAGGTCTACACAGTTAGACTGCTTACCAAACCACACGCTACATAAATTCAACTTTTAACCTTCAAGAGTCTTAGATTTCTGTGGAAGCAAAGAAGCTCTACTGAGATGCTTATTAAGGAGATTAACATCAACACAACACAGGATTTAAGATGTGCAATAGACATAAGGGAAAATAATAAGATTGCTGCTCTGCCTCAAGCTGCAAGGACTGGAAGTTTTCCTTGCTAAAATATTCCTTTTTAGAAAAGCAGCAGCATAAATCCTTTCCTTTGGCTTGAGATGCTGTCTTACAGGTACCTCCTAATTGCAAGCCTCAAGAAGTGTTTCTCCCTTGCAGAGTTACATTCAATTATAATAATTACCTTTTCTCCAGCAAAATACTGATCCCACTGCATTTTATACTTTGCAGCTCCTGAGTAAGGTTCAGATTTAAAGAACAAGGCACTAGTCCTCTGAAGACAGAGTTAGATAAGGTACTTCAGGCTCCAGACAGTTCTCCTATTGGAGGTAGTCTGCTATTGATACAAAAGCAAAATAAGAGCATGTAAAACTTTTAGTCACCAAGGAAAAAAATTAAAGTCACCTCTTTTGAAAGCCATTCTGACTGAAATGAGTAGTTCACTGGATAAAACAGGTGGTCCTTGACCCAAAAAGTATCCCAAATGTATCTTTAATGAGAGTATTCATGTTGATTACCTTCAAAATAACATTTAAATTCAGATTGAATTCTCCTCTGTGCAGGTCTGGTGTTTGACCTGAACACAGTTACATTGTTAGAACTAACAGAAATACAGTATGGACTATTAGAGGTAGAGCCAACACAAAACTTGCTCTAAAATACTCTACTAGGCTTTACACACCATTCACAGCTAAGTTAATTAACATAACTCTGATTCCTGGCATATAAATTTCCCAGAGTCAGCAGGGCAACCATTTGACAACTGACCCTTAAAACATTATTTCAGCTCCTTTAAATTGACAGCCATCTGTAGAGTCACTCAGGAAGAAGCAAAGCAAGTTACATAAATGGTTCTACTCACCCCTCTTCCACAGTAGGGCTCTTGGAAGCAACAGGCTTTTCTTGATAAAAACCTGGAGCTCTGCACAGGGATTAAGCAGGCAGCCCATTTAGATTTGCACTTTCAGTAGCAGCAATGCAGATGCCTTCCCACCCCACCACACACATTGGTCCTTTCTTGGGGGGGGGCAAGTGTTGTCGTGTGTCCCCCCCCAGCTTCTGAATCACAAAGCCATTTGAGTCAGAGGCATCTACTGCCACTCCCTACCCCCCCAGCACATGAACTGGTCAGTATTGCAGCCTTGTACTCCCTGGGACCAATTTAAGAAGCATGATTGGGG